GCGAAGATGGTTGGCTACTACCGACAGATCCGTTGGGTAGGTTTGATCAAAAGCTTATTTGTTGTAATTCATTGTTTCGCATTTCGCACAAATTCTAATACAGATTCCACTTGCGACTGGAAATGCACACTTTGCACCTTCAAAACCTCCAATAATGCCATACAGAAGGCGCTATCGGTTATACAGTCGGAAGTCGCTACCATCCAAGCAATGGAACCTAGCCCACAAAAACTACAAGAAACGGAAAAACTGATGCGGAAATATCGTGTCGTTTTGCATCCTCAACATTTCGTACAAATTGGTCTTCGACAGAGTCTCATTGAAATGTATGGTCGCGTCGCCGAATATGAATTGGCAGAGCTGCCCGATGTCATGCTCGAGCACAAGGAAGGGCTCTGCCGGCTGGTATTGCGTGTTTTGGAAGTCTTCGAACCGGGTTTGAGTCGCACACGAGCTATGATGCTGTACGAGTTGCATGTGCCACTGGTATTGCTGGCCAAAAGCGGTTTCATAGCCGGCGTCTTGTCAGCAGAGGCGTTGAAGCAGAAATTGCTGGACGTCATCGCATTACTCAAAGAATGTGTCGACATATTGCAGTACGAGGATCCGGAGACGCAAGAGGGCAATTTATGCAAAGTGGCCCAGCAGGCAATGGAACAGCTTACGCAGAGTGTGGAGGGTTTAACTGGGGATGAATGATTACAATTATGGCACTCTTAGGTTAAATACATATTTCTATAAGTATTCAAAAAAATCGTTTACATTTTATTTATTTTTTGTCTATTACTAAATAATTAAATTATTAAATTATGTAGTTACGATGATATAAATCTGCGAATGTTAATTACGAATCGGATGTATGTACATACATTAGTCTTTTCAAAATTAAAAAAAAAAAAAAAAATATCTTTGATACCCGGAAAAAGGTTATTTAGAAAGTAAACGAATACTATATACCGGGAATCAGTGGCATTCAAGTGGTTTGCTGGAAGATCGTCATGGCGCATAAAATCAAATAGCCGAGAAAAAAGTGAATAGCGTTTAGTTAGGTTTACCATTGTACAAAAAGCCATGCCCATAAATCGTCATTAAGATGAACTAACGGTAGACCCAGAAAACATCCTGTTTCAACGAGGTCAGACCAAAGGAAAACGAGTATTAGCACAGTGGGCTGAAAAGGGCAAGTGAAGAGCAAGTTGGTGTCATGTGGAGGGTCTGCACAAACAGGACTTATATTGGGTATGTTGGGGCACAGTCTGGATAATTAGCAGCTTAACATGCCACAGTATCCAGACCTTAAGTACATCAGAGTTACGCCGGTATATCGAGGCAACTGAAGTTCTTTCTCTGCAATAGAGTATTAGTAAAGTTGGTCATAGTCCCTCTTTCATGACCTCACTGTACAAGATTGGGTCTTCTGGCTAGACGATGTCAGGTTCGCTCTCGCCCGCTCGTTCATAGGGGCACAAGTGTATGTTTGGGTGTTGTCTACGGCAGCGGTATGTAGTAGATGGTGTTCAGGCGAAATCAGAAGGCATTCCATTGCAGTTCGGAGTGCAGTGTTCTGACAGGTCGATAGCCCCATTCAATGTGCCATGTTGTTGTTGTAGCGGCTCCTAAACCCCGCTCGGGTTGGTTCATCCGTCAACGTTGTCGTCCGTTTCAACTAAGGGGAGGCCCAGGAAGTGCGCGACTACGACAGGGTCTGTCCATAAGGACAGGGGCGTTAGCTGGGTGGGGTTCTCGGGGCATGTGAAGAGGTGCCGAGAGTCATGTGGCGACTACCCACATGCCGGGAATTGGCTGGGCACATCTTCATTAATTCTACTCAGGTACGAGTTTAGCCTGCAACAATAGCCAGAGCGAAGTTGCGCTATTGTGGTGTGGGTCTCCTGACGCAGACAAAGTACTGCCCCGCCAACGTCAGGTGGTTGTGTGCCTAGAACAGTATTCTCAGGGCGGGAGTCTACATAACTTGAGACCGATTCTCTGTGAATGTCGCTCAGGGCCTGTCGATAAGCTGACGGATCCAGAGGTTGTTACATGAACCTCTGGATTTCGTCGATCAGTTCGTAGAGATGCTTCCTGACGTGCCTTGGCGAGGGCACGAAGCTCGATCTCGAAAGAGAACTGACGACTGCTGACCACTGTGAACTACACGAAAATACTCGTAGTTACCTTCGACAGCCTGCTGTCTTTATCGGCGCACATAAGCGCAATAGCCAATAGAGTACAGAGCCACAACAAAGTCTTCAAATCGCTAGCCGGCAGTACCTGGGGCAAAGACAAAGAAACATTGTTGGAAACATTCAAGGCAGCACGCAGTGGACGAAGCTACAGACCTTCCAAAACACGGCGCTCTGGACTGCCTGGGATGCCTCTGATGCCGCCAGAAGACCACCCGCATGACGAGGCCCAAATGCCCCGTGTCAGAGGGCACATCACTATGCTGAACAGGCAGTTCTTTGTAAGGTGTCCCAGGCGTGGCCACCCGAATAGACATCTGCTTGCTGCTGAGTCCTCACCCGAGGCATCTATACAAACCCTCGACATCGTACCGTAGGCCATAAACGGCATTCATAGGGAGTCGGTCTCAACATACGCCAACTCCCGACCTTTGAATGCCGTTTTAGGAATACAATCATCCCAAGTTAACGAGACAGAACTTTTCCTTTGGGACGTTTACCTTCCCGAAAGCCATCGAAACTTCACCGCTGGTGAAAGTAATAGGCGCAAAGATTTTGGCAGTTTGTGCAGCCTTCTGATCATTCGGCGTGTGGCCATATCAGCCGAAGGATGCTGTGTGAACTGTCGGCTAAAATATCTCGCACATAAACTAGGCGACCAATGAAAGTGTACACTACACAGTGGGCCGAAAATTCGTCTTTTTAGAATTTTGATTGGTAATAGCAAAAATATTGTTCATTATGCTCTAAAAATAATCTGTGTGAAAGATGAGAAGTTTTGGTCAATATCTTAGGCTCGTCCAAGTGCGTCACAGATTTTTTTTAGAGCAAAATGAAGCATATTTTTGCTATTACCAATCAAAATTCTAAAAAAAAGCGGATTTTCGGCCCACGCTATTGTACATCTTGTTTTAATAGGTTAAGGAGGGCTCTTACCTTGAAAATCCTCTGTGCACTGTGCATGTGAAAATTTTACCCGGGTTTTTAGTTAGTGAAGAGTGAAAAAGTGTGGTGATCCTTTTCGTAAAACAACAAACGTACTACCTGGGATACATTATAACATATAAGTGAATAAATTAATTGGTGATATTATTACCTCTTTTGAGCGAGCTTGAAAATTACACGCGCGCCGCGATATTTTCATAAACAATATAGTTCATTTTATAATATAAACCATATAATATAGTGTGAATCTTTCACACTTTATATAAAGTTCATAAAAAATCTTTTTATTCAGAATTTCCAGAAAATTTTCGAGTGTGCAGTTTTGTAGCTCATTCCATTTTAGTCAAATGAAGTGCAAGTTTCTAGAATTTTTTTTGGAGACAGATTTTGCGGTTTTTATAATGATAAGTGCAATTTACAAAAAATGGCGTTGAATTTTTGTCGCTAACGGCATCCCGCATTTTATTTCATACGAAATTTATGCTTAGAAGGAAAAAATGCAAAAATCCGTCTCAAAAAAAAAAAAATATTCTCAAAAATTAACGGGATTCATTAGATTAGAATTGAATGGGATAATTTCAAAAATTGTCTAGAAATTCTGAATAAAAGCTGAAAATTTTGATGAATATTTTTTGAATTTTTGTGAACTTTATATAAAGTGTGAAGCTTTGATCTATATGGTTGTTTGTAGTCTAAAATGAACTATACTTGAATAAATAATTAATGCAAAAAATTGTTCATGATAATAATTTTGAATATTATATTAGAACAAGATGTACGCTTTCAATTGTCGCCTAGTATATACTGACAAAAAAAACTGGAGGAATGAAAACTTATTTTTGGGTCGTAGATTGTGGATCTGATCTGATCCAGATCAAGCCATTTTCCCAAAATATTTTAATATTTATAAAAACATTAAACTTTAGCAAACAAAAAATAATAATAAAATTTGATGGATAAATAAACCACTTTTGAATGGTCAAATGAGCATGTGCAATAATTTTTTTTTTATGAAATAGGGGCAGGAAATAATGTTACTTATAGGGAATTTACACGATTCAACTTTCACAAGCGATTAGTTGAACCAAAAGTTGAACGAAAGTAGGCAGACGACCAACTTCATTGAAAGCGATTAGCTGAAAGGCCGTTTACACCAGGCGATTGTTGCTTTCAACTAAAAATCGCCTGAAAAATCGCCTCATGTAAATTCCCTATTATGGACCATATCTTACATGGCCATACTCTTACATTACTCATAATGCCGAATTTCCACTAGCCATGGAAATGACAAAAAAGTTGCGCCATTTAAAAAATTCCATGTGGAAATCAACTTAATGACTACTTTTTGAACGTAATGACACGATTATTTTTTAATGCCCAACTTTTTCAATAAAATGTTTGCCATTTAATGCCAAGTGGAAATTCAGCATTACATTTTCCATTTTGCTGGCCAGTGTAATTTAATGAAAGGTTTTTTCGATGGCTTCCACTGACAGCCGAAAATCTGTTGCATACTAAACAAATTAAATATATAGTAGTAAAATAATATTTGCTTAAAACTTGGTCAATAATTTATATGTAAATTAAACACGTAAATAAAGATATTCATGTGTTCATGCCTGGTAGGAATAGCGGTTCTATACATTTTAAAAGCAATTAGGTATGAAGGTATAAAGTTTATAAAATATTTTTGTAGTATTTTAAGCTTTCATGCTAGAACAAATAATTCTCTATTGTTCGAATAAAACTTGGAGTAAATTTAATAACTTTAAAAATCAAAACTAGAAGTTAAATAATTACACTTTTTTCAAATTGTAGTTATGTATTATAATAACCTGTAGTATAACTGCAAAGAATTAAACTCTTTAATTACTTTAATTATTTCACTCTTTAATTCGGCATTTAACCGTGTTTACACATGATGGACGTTTCCAGCAATTATAGTTTATAAACGAAAGAGACTATTTATTGCAGTAATGCATTTACGAACATTATTCTATGCAAACCTTTACTTTTTTTGAAATATACATATGATGAGTATGATTTCTAGGTGGTGCACGTTGCTCGGAGCCTGCAGTTTGGAAATTGTCGAGAGAGGTGATGCCAATCCACCAAATCTATTACTTGCTATAAAAATTGAGTTTTTTGGGTGTTCCAAAGCCTCCGCTTTGCATGAGTTGGCCTAACAGTAACGGGTTATAAGCTGCTGCCGCTGCCCCGAAAGCAGGGAAAGATGAAAATGGTGGGACAAACGAATTGCGGAATTCGGTAGAGTCTACTAAAACAGGTGTTTTTGTACGCTTCTTTTTCGCTTTTGGTGCAGCTACTTCCTCGCTTGAGTCACTCTCTGATTCCGATTCAGAGGTTTGCCCATCTGATTCTTTTTTCCCTTCTTCATTTGCCATTTTTATATTTTCTTTCGCTGAATAGTTTTTATATACATTAGTATTCATTGGCAATACGAACTTTTGTTCCGGATTGAACTGACTCATTTGTCCCATGCAGAATTCCATAAAAGATTGCATCATAATTGATAGGTTTACTGGCTTCGGACAACTCTTCATGTTGTGGTAAGGCGCTGAACAGTTTTTGCAAATCATCTGACATTCAAAAGCAGTATGTCCCTGTAATAAGAATGTTAAATTAGGCATAAATTGACAAAAAAAATCAAATCTTACATGTTCGTCGCATATCAAGCATTGATTCGTAGTCGTAGAGCTCTTGTCATCCACTGCTTCATCGGCCTCTTCTGAAGCATCATCTTCAATGACAAACTTTTTCTCCAGCTTTCCCAGACAAATTAAGTCTTCTTCAGAAGGCCGCCTTTTCCTCGTTTGCTTCTTCGCTACTTTTGTTGGTTTTTCCACAGTTGGCATCGATAAGGCTTTAGTGTTCTTTAAAAGCTCTTTAATTTTGTCATCATCTTCTTCCGAAGAGGAGCTGGATGAAGAGGAGCTGGATGAAGAGGAACTGGAAGAAGACGGTGGTCTTGCAATTTTCTCTGTTGGTTTTGCCGGTGTTTCTTGCTTGGGCTCGAGCGGTTTGTTAGGCGGTACATCCTCACTGTCAGACGAATCCGAAGAGGCCGGTGGCTTAGCGATTTGATTAGTTTTATTTTGTCCAATTTTTTCTTGCTTTATATTTATTATTATCGGTTTCTTTTCAACTAAATCCATTTCTTTGGGTAATTCTTCTTGAATTTGTGGTGGCACAGCCGGCAAGCTTGTGGCTGGTGGTGCAATCGCTGCCGCTTGTGTCAAGTTAGCAGCAGGCACTTGTGACGCCGTTGCAGACGGGTACTTACTTTGATTTAGTTCACTTGGAACGGATGAATTTCCAGCTTGATCCTCATACCAATTCCCACCACTTTTTCTTTCGTTGCCGTTGTTGTCGTTATGTTGCTTGCTTCTGCGCCTGTCTCTGCAGGCACGCTTGCCCATACGACCACCTTGTTGCGACTCATTTTTCGACCGGCTATTGTAACCACCAGATACCTGTGTATGTCGGTCTCGGAACTTTTGAAACCGATCATTTTCTTGGCTAATTGATGGAGGTGCATTATTGCTGCTTTCTAAGTTGTTATTGCTACCGTGGTTCACGCTGTTGTCATATGAACGATTGAAATTCCCGCCAGACCAGCTGCCAGAGCGACGATTCCCACCGTGTCCATCATTATGGCTTGAGTTTTTATTGTAATTACCATAGGAACCAGTGCCACCGAAACGTTTGAAGCCTCCACCGCCACCGCCACCGCCACCGCCACGGCCACCGGTACGATGATAATTGTTCGGATTCCTACTCATTTATCTTCAATTTATTGCAATTTTATAATATGAGAACGAGAATTGAGACCGAAAACAAAAAACTATATGTAGGAAATTAGGGCTGTCAAACTATCGATGGCTGCACTTTTTTCAACTATCGATTGATAGTCGGGACTATCGACAATCGTTACAGCTTTGTATCATAAAATTTTTGGAAACTCACAGAAAGATAATTTTTTAAGTTCTTGAAAAGCGCTGTGATGCTTCTGCAGGTATGGATTTTGAAAGGTAGTAATAATAATCTTCAACAATGTTATTGAGCTTGAGGACGTTTTTGCATGAACATGGTGCGTAATAATTCTACAATGAAACTTAATATAATAATATAACGTACGTAAAGTATAACCCATAAAATTAATTCAAAAAAAAACGATCTTAATAAGAATTGTTTTAACAAAAATTACATAATTAATGAAAATTTACATTTTCTTTTTGATGCTTTTTAACAAATTAAATATTGACTCTGTTTAGTTATATAAAGCGCTTTTTGAGTTCTTGATATGAATAAAAAGCGTACTATATTTTTCGTTCTTGATTATATGAATTATATGTTAAAAGTAGTATAGCCTGCACAGGCTTAGATAAATCAGTGTGTATTTCGATACTTTCGACGATATATCGATAGTTTAATTTATCACTATCGAAACTATCGATGGTGTCGACTATCAATAGTTTGACAGCTCTATTGGAAATGTCAAGTTTATTTTCACGTGGAGTAGGTGACTGCAGCGATGCCAGAGCATATTTTTTGAAATTCACTACGTCGTTCTTTAAAATTCCCTAAATTTCCCTACACGCATATATATATGAAATGCTCACTACAAATTTCCCTTTTTTGTTTTTATATTTAAAACACTTTACATAAATTGGAAAATATGCGTATGTTTTATTCTACACAAATAGAGGTAAACAGTTATGTTGAATAGCTATAAACTTCTTTGTACTTATATCGCACGTTTAATAATATAGTGATGTAACTCAAAATTAACGTTTTTGGAGATTTCATCTTAAATACACTATTAATAAGCTTTATAAGTACAACATATTCAGCCTAAAACTATGTTCACATATCAATATTACCTCAATCAAAGCTCGTTTTTTAATCACCCCGTTTACACAGGCAAATCTCAGATTATTAGCTGTCAAATTTGTTGTGCTTGTTATTCTCACATCTCAATGAAAAGTTATGTTTCTTCTCTGTGCCACCGTGATCACGTTTTTCTGCTATATTAAGCAATCGATAAAACTAGGATGGACACCGAAAAGTTATCGGTAAAATCTGAGATTATTTTATAATTACAGATTAACAAGGGCGGAATTTTATATGGCTAATCTCTTTTGCTAATTACAGATTAGGAAGTTAAGCTCGAAAATGAGGATAATCTAATTATATGTGAACCTAGTATAACTGATGGATAAACTTATCGAACATCGCAAAGATATGGGCATTTTCAACTGTCTTCTTGTGTACCAACTGCATGAATTGATCAAACTTTGATTGCGTTTTCCCACAAAATTTAAATTTTGAAATACTTCCGTGCGATATATTTAGTATGTACATACATATACAAAAAACCAAAATATACATTAGTGGTATTCACCAAAGTGAGCAAGTGGCCTGGCAGTCTGGCAATTGAGCAGATCAGCTCAAGCAACGTTTGTTGTCAACATTCAACAGTCAAAGTGCCAGGCCGCTTGCTCAATTTGGAAAATATCACTAGTGTAATTTGTATACACATATGTACATACATATGTACATACTGCTGTCACAACGTCCAACACCTTGTTTTATTGCACCATGAGCCGGGAAGTCGTGGGTTCGAATCCCACAGCCAGGAAACATCTTTTTGTTCTTTTAAATATTATTTTATTTTTTTTAAATAATTATAGTTGTGAGTTTTTTAATTAAAATTCTATTCAAAAAAATATTGGTTAACTTGAAATAATTATGTGAAATATCATAAACAAAAAAATTAATAAAATAAAATAAAATAGCGTTTTTATTAAAAAAATAATAAAATACAAAAAAAAATATTGTTTGGAATCGCTCGGATTGGGGACCGCAGCAAAACAAAACTTATAACCTTATTTTACCATTTTAAAATCACGCCCTCCTCATTCTAATGCTAAAATTCTGTTTTTGCCATAAAATGCATTTTAAGTTGATTATAAAACAATGGTGATTACTATAAAACACAATTTTAATCGTTAAAACCTTTTTCTATCTTCACTATGACTACGGGCAAATGTATTTTTATTGAGTACACATTTCAGAGGGATTACACTTTTCATTTCACTTAATCTTTAAACTACTTAACTCTATTTATTTGCCATTTTATACCAAAGCATAATGACATATGTACATATATATCGTCGTTTAAAGTACCGCGTAACTGACATGTTTTGCCAAAAATTGAATTGGCTCACACAAGCTCTTGGCTCAATCCTTATAGCCCAGTTATGCATACTTTGCACTGCTATACGATTTTTACGTAAAAATCAAAACCCAACAGTTTCGCATACGCGGTCTTGCATTATCTTGATACGCGGTTTTACATTTTGTTGATACGCGGTTTTGTACTTTAAACGACGATATGTGCATAGGTTTGCGTTGACGTTGGTAGGAGTCATGAGTTGGTAGCTGAATTTGAAGATATGGTTTTATGTACATATGTATATATGTATGTAAAACCGTTTACGCAGATAACGAATTACCCCACACCGCTCAAGGAGCCAGCACCGAGCTTAAAGTCGAAGTCAGTCACTGAGAAGGCATTACTCCAGTAGCAGGCACCTCGAGGGGTCACTCATTCAGAGAAAGAAGTAGCGTAGGTGCAGACCTTCTCAATTACCCCCAACGGGTCATCCGAGCATGTTTGACAACCAACGCCGAGCTGGTTTGGGCGGCTCTGGATTCAAGTGGTACCTTCGCTACCTGGAGTAGGGGAAGCTGAAGCTCGGGCCATCATCGCACAAAAGACCCGCGCCAGCCGATTGGCGAAGAGGCGGGGAACCTAGAGGCACAAACACAAGGGAAGTATCAGCATCGAAACGTAGCAGGCAGATCGAGAAACCAGTGACGCCTTCAAGTAAGCGTCTGAGGAAGCAAGCAACCCTCTGGGATCATGGTTCAGAAACCTGGGTGGAACTTTCGGCCAGGAACAGGCGAAGGAGGTGGCCCTTAAAGGCATTCGCGTGGCTATGCTGCCTCGTGAATACACTGCCGCTGCCCTGTCCCTATGGACAAACCCCATTGAAGCTGCACGCTTCCTGGGTCTCCCGTTAGTTGAGCCTACAACAACGCTACAACAACAATAATGTCAAAGATTGATCCTGGTCGGCAAACTTCTAGTCGGTAAATCCTGGCGTTGGATTACACCAGGCAAAATAAACTTTTGGGTTGTAGAGACCACAATTTCTTTTGAACTATATACATAGGTACCTTAGGTCTAACAACCGTGCTGTGAAGAGCTAGATTGCAGTGCACACTTCTTACTGATATCTACATACATACACATATAGCTATCTATCAGTGATGCAGTTATCCACCAGAGAGCCCAAATTTATAAGAGCATGGAGAAATTTTACTATTTGCTTGCTTTTCGATTGTCCATGATTGTAGGAGAGGTCGGTTGGACGATATTGCTGATTTCAACAATTCATTGTTCCTAACGAAAGTAAAAGTGCTTTTTGCTCATATTCCCACTGACTTCGCGCCCAATGGACCACGGAGAGAAATGGTGAAAGCTTGTTTCACTCAATCACCAAGTGATGGCAATGCGAGATGCGCTCCTATAAATGTCCAACATCAACGACGCACAACTTTTAGTTGTCGCACGCGTCTGCAAGTGATCGGTTGCACAAAAAAAGTTTACTTGCAGTACTCAAATTACTGGTGACCGGAAGTGAATCGTGTAAAATAGTTACGTACATTGTTACGTTGTGGTCTTTTCCTTTTTTAGTTTCGTGAAAAGTGGTGCTGTAAACAGGTTTCAAATATTTGTTGCTTCGATGGTGATGACCTCGTAAAGAAAATGCTATCGCAAAAAAGCTTTCCAAATGGTAACACAATCAAGGTCGCGCATGTGAATGTTGCCAATGATGCTTGCAAACGTGTTACCAATTATATTAATAATAATGAAGTGAATGACGCTTTGGTAACTACGAACTGTCGGCATGGAACGCTAAACAATAAGTTCACTACAAATTTGCGGCGTTTAATGTTGGTGGCATTTGTTTTGCTAACAAGTATCGATGCCAAACAATTTGGTAATAATTTCTCCACTATTATAAAATTCAATGAATACATCATCAGTGCATACCTACATACATATGTACATACATATATACATACACAACATAATTTAATGTTCATTAACTACTTGCGGTTTATTTATGTATGTGCATTCGAAAGTGGTAGAAGTCGTGCGGGACGTATGCGTGTTTCTGCGTTGTCATTGCGTTCGCATTTGGTATTCTGTTAACGTTTTATTCGTAACATCCACTAAAATAGTGGTTTCATAACCCAATAAATTGTTTATGTAATATTGCAGCTTAAGATAATTGTAAATAATACAAGCATACATACATACATACATATGTATGTGTGTACATATTTGCATGTATTATGTTTGTTTAAATATTCAAATATTTATGTAATTTTAAACAAAAGTACTATTTTATTTCAGCAGCTAATCCATAAATGCTGAGGGGATTTGTTTTATGCAGTTACATTTTAATTTTGCATTGTTTCATTTGACAGTTGGATGCATATGTACTAGAGGGCTGCATGAATTCATTCAAACTTCTAGCCAAACAGAGTACAGTAGATTTGAATATTTTACTTCACATACAAAACACTCAGCGTTTGGAATTTTGTAAGTTATGAATATACATTTTGTTTGAATGTTTGTTGAATGAATAGAAAACATTCAAATCATCCAAACTCATTTCGGTAAAAGTTTTTTTCTACAAACAAGTTTTTTCGTATATAATGGGAGCGCAGCATAGAAAAAATATTTTTGGATATTCATACAAAAAATTGTCATTTATTTCAATTCAATTTATTTTCACATTGTTTGAATATTGTAATGTCGACACAAATTTCAGAACAGCTATTCACTCAAATTCAAAAAAAAAAAATTGAAGCCAAAATCATTCATTCGTTTTGTATATGAATAATTCATAAGCCGTTTTGAATGCATTCATGCAGCCCTCTAATATGTACATATGTACATATAAGTTTAATGCATAATGCGTATTTTCAATCGAATATTTATCTTCCTCGTAATGATTTTCATTTTATGACTACTGTTGTTCATAATTTCTGTTTGTTTTGCTTTGCTTTCATAATAGCGGCAGCTAAAATTCCACTCTCGGATTCATTTTATTTGCTATTCAAAAGAGCGTTCGCATAATACCGCTCTTTAACCCCCACTCATTGATGACGCCTTCAAGCGTTTGTTCGCGTTTCTTACTACAGTCTTAGCGGACCAATCAACACCGGCTTGATCTGGGCAAGACGTAGCACGTAATTGTAACACGTTTTCCGTTGCACTTGTTGGTATCGATTCATATATACATATATGTACATACATATGTATGTACATTGGACGGCGTCACCAATAAAATTTGCGATTTTCCCGCCGGGATTACAAAATTTATTATATCTTAAGACTTCCACCAAATTATTTCGGATAAATATTCTGCTTTATTCTGAGTTTCGACCAAAAAAAAAATCACCCGAAAATTTTTCATCCGCCCATAGTAAAACCATGGAACCGGTTCGGGGAAATTAAGCTCATGATAAGGCTGATTAAGATTTACGTGAGCTGGACCGATTGAAAAATACCTCCAAAAATGGAGTTTTTCATGAAAAAAAAAAAGTTTCATAAAGGATTTTTTGAAAAAAAAAAAACACTCAGATGACAAAACAGTTTAGACCTTAAAAATCTACATAAAAATATTCCAAAATTTTTTCATCCGAATCATAATAATCAGCCTTATCATGAGTTTAATTTTCCCCATACCGGTTCACTTTTGGTTTCCATGGTTTTACTGTGGGCGGATGACAAATTTTCGGGTCAATTTTTTTTTTCAGGCGAAACTCAGGATAAGGCAGAATGAGATTTTTGATACTGTTTTTTTTATTTTTTTCAAAGATTTGTTTAGAAAAACTTTAGTAACTGGTCCAAAACTTTACTGATATAGACCTGTAAGGTATCAGTGGTAACGTATTTCCTAGCCATTTTTATTTCTTTGCAAAAAAACTAATTCACGGTCCAATTTTTTGTCTTACCCTTCTCTTTCATGCTTTGAATGACCTTATTTGCAAAGAAATAAAAAGGACGAGAAAATTCCTTTCCAATGATACGCCCTCATAAGTCTGAATCGGCAAAGTTTATGCTGAGTTTTTCCAGTTTTTTTAAAACAGCATCAAAAATTTCATTATTGAGATTGCATTGATTTTTTTTTTTTAATATTTTTATGCAAATTTTTTAAGCTTAAACTGTTTTATCATCTAAGGTAATTTATTGTAAAACAAAAATACTTAAAAAAAACTGTTTTTATTCACAAAACTAAAATTTTGGAGGTATTTTCGAATCGGTCCAGCTCACGTAAATCTTAATATTTTTCCGAAATATTTAAGCGAAAGTCTTAAAATATAATAGATTCTACAATTCCGATGGAAAAACAGTACCGATTTTTTTTTGTATGGGGAGTGATGCAGTCTAGCGTAAATACATGTGTACATATTTTTTTCTCAATCAACATCTCCCTCTAGCTAAAGGTGTATATGTATTTCCTTATCATCGATTGCGCATGCGTGGTTGTGTAGTTGCAATTAATATAAATGTCCGTTAATGTTTTTTTGTTTTTTTTACTTTTTTGCTAATGTTCATAACTAAAATACTGCTCAGCATTCAATGTACATAGTTATTCAATGTACATAGTAATTGAAACTGCTGCATTTTTTTTAATTATTATTATTTTTTTATCACATTTTCCAGTAAATGCATCGAATTTGTTTAAACGTAGCGCCAATCCAAATATCGAGTGCTTGAAAAATGATCGCTTCTATCGCGACCCGAATCGGCCAGTGCATAAAATTTGGACTAACAGTGAATGTTCTAAGTATTTCCTTTGCCTGGATGGAGACGTTTTTGAGTTTAAATGCTCGGAGGGCTTATTATTCGACGTTGTCAGACAAATTTGTGATTTTAAGCAGAATGTGGATAATTGCGACATAACAGCGGGTAAGAAATATTGGCGTGGACAAAATTCGTTAACATGTAGAATTAAGAATGCTTAAAAAACATTATAAATACGTATGTATGTAAATAAGTAAAAAATGGATATATAAAGTGCATCACATATCATTAAAAATATGACTAAAATACGATAATGAATTAAGTGAAGATAAACATAATTGAGTTTATAAAATAAAGAACTACCTAAATTCGACTATTTGTTACAATAAGAACAATAACTAAATAGCTTAAAGGGCCGTTTTCTCAAGTAAAGTTTTAAAATTTATCTGCCTTTTAAACACACATTTCGCTCTGAAAAAAATGTGTTTGAAGGACAGATAAATTTTAAAACCTAAATTTTTTCGAAAACGGCCCTTAGAAAACTAAAAAAAAAATACTTTTTCACTCCAGCTAATAGTTTTTCATTTCTTTTTTAGAAACCCAAATTCCAAAACCATTACTCGAGAAAGCCGAATGTAAAGACAAAACACACTTGGGTTGCGGTGATGGCACATGTCTTCCAAATGACTATTTTTGCGATGGTTCCGTGGATTGTCCCGACGAGTCAGATGAGGTAAAATCTAAAATCTTTAACGCAATTTAAATGCTACTTTAGTTAGTATGAAATTTGGAAAACAAAGCTAATTTTCAAATCTCAGGGTTGGTGTGACATGAACAACGATCCAAATGCCGCTGATTCCTGTGACACACGCAACTGTCAACTGCCAGATTGTTTCTGCTCGAAAGATGGCACGCAAATACCCGGCCGTTTAAGTCCCGGTACGGTGCCACAAATGATTTTGCTGACATTTGGTACGTATTGATAGTGAATATACTATACATAAATATTTTGCTAGAAACAGCGTCGCAACTACATTACAGTGAAGCCGATTTTATAGAAGTAATTTAGCGGCATGCGTACTAGGGCGGATCGAAAATTTAATGTTTCTCAAATGCTTTGGTAATAGTGAAATTATATAGTATATCATGAGGTCAACAACAAGCCTGTAAAATATTAATCGTTTATTTCAATTACAAGAGCCCGCGCATCGACACTCAAGTGACACAAAGCACACTGGTCGAATAAGACCGATTCTTGTTAAAAATTCAGGGTTCAGCAAAAAGGTTTGGTGGATATTATTAGATAATGAACCTGCTTTCACTTTTCTGTAGGGGAATATCTTCGGTCTTCCAGGCTGAGGTAATTGCAATACTCAAAGCCATGGACTATGTGGTGGAACATAGGTGGAGGGAAGGAGTGGGTGCCAGGTCACTCTGGAGTACCTGGTTATGAGACATCTGATCATTTGGCCAGAGTTGCCTCAGACCAGGTATTCCTCGGTCCGCAACCAGTTTTAGCACTCCCACCTTCGACAATCGAAGCCACCATCAGAAACTGGGTTAATACTTCGCTCAGAATTGACTGAGAGGCATCGCGGGGATGCAGGTGTGCAAAACTCATGTTGCCTTCAATCTCACACGGCCTATCAAATTTTTTACTCTCACTGAGCAGATGACACGGCAGACAACTTACTGACTGTGATAGGCGTAAATAACAAGTCCATTTGCCCATCTTGCCTTGAAGAAGATGAGACCGTGGAACACTTTTTGTGCTTCTTGCTTGCTTGGTTATTTGTCATCGATTTTTTTAAACTCGTTGTTTTCTCTATCATCAGTTTCTGAGTTAAAAACTTGGCATAAAAAGCTTAGCCGTTTTGATGTTTTAAGTTTTGTGTTTTAAAAATCTGATAAATACATATTTTTCGCCTCACTTTAAAACTCGGAGCGATAAAAATAAAAAATTATAATGTAAATAACGCTAGCGCTCGCAGTGCTCTTAAAAATATAACTCTTCCGAGCGAGAGCGTATTTTGATGTATTTACGAGCTCCATTTTTTAAAACCTACAAATGTTTACATTATTTTTGTAAATAGAACACAAGAAAATATTTTACTTTTATTTTGGCCACTCGTCACAATTTTCACATTCAATTTTTTTACGAGCTTTAGGAATATTTAGAAATGTATCAGCAGGGGGTCCACCGAAACCAGTAAATCTTTGAAAGGGGTCTACGAGAAAAAAAGTTTGGCAACCTCTGATATTGACAAATGTATACATAAATGCTCAGAATGAATAGAGAAGTCGATTAAGCCATATCTTTCTGTCCGTCCGTCCGTGTACTCGATAACTCGAGCAAAAACTGAGATATCTCAACGAAATTCGGTATGTGGGTTTTCATTAATCCAACTGTACTGTAACCACGCCCACTTCCCATATAACGGTAATTTCCAGAAATACGAAAACTGCGATATATTAGTAACTACTGAAGATAATTCACTCAAATTTGATATTTACAATAATTTTCAGACGAAAAATAAGATTATAAATTTTTGGAAAATGGGCGTAGCCACGCCCACTTATGGTTACATGTGTATATATTGGTAACCGCTGCACCAATTTCTTCCAAATTTGGCACAGTTGTTGGCCTTGGTACAGCATACTAAATCATTCATCAGTAAATATTAAAGCTAATTTATTCAAAATTGATGCTTGCAACAATTCTTTACCAAGAAATACGTTTATGGTAAAATTTTGGAAAATGGGCGTGGCACCGCCCACTTTTGATCACATATATGTATATCGGTAACCGTTCTACCAATTTTTACCAAACTCGGTACGGTTATTTTGTTTGCCACATAAAATTNCTCGCAGTGCTCTTAAAAATATAACTCTTCCGAGCGAGAGCGTATTTTGATGTATTTACGAGCTCCATTTTTTAAAACCTACAAATGTTTACATTATTTTTGTAAATAGAACACAAGAAAATATTTTACTTTTATTTTGGCCACTCGTCACAATTTTCACATTCAATTTTTTTACGAGCTTTAGGAATATTTAGAAATGTATCAGCAGGGGGTCCACCGAAACCAGTAAATCTTTGAAAGGGGTCTACGAGAAAAAAAGTTTGGCAACCTCTGATATTGACAAATGTATACATAAATGCTCAGAATGAATAGAGAAGTCGATTAAGCCATATCTTTCTGTCCGTCCGTCCGTGTACTCGATAACTCGAGCAAAAACTGAGATATCTCAACGAAATTCGGTATGTGGGTTTTCATTAATCCAACTGTACTGTAACCACGCCCACTTCCCATATAACGGTAATTTCCAGAAATACGAAAACTGCGATATATTAGTAACTACTGAAGATAATTCACTCAAATTTGATATTTACAATAATTTTCAGACGAAAAATAAGATTATAAATTTTTGGAAAATGGGCGTAGCCACGCCCACTTATGGTTACATGTGTATATATTGGTAACCGCTGCACCAATTTCTTCCAAATTTGGCACAGTTGTTGGCCTTGGTACAGCATACTAAATCATTCATCAGTAAATATTAAAGCTAATTTATTCAAAATTGATGCTTGCAACAATTCTTTACCAAGAAATACGTTTATGGTAAAATTTTGGAAAATGGGCGTGGCACCGCCCACTTTTGATCACATATATGTATATCGGTAACCGTTCTACCAATTTTTACCAAACTCGGTACGGTTATTTTGTTTGCCACATAAAATTAGTTACTCAGGTGTACGTGGCGTATGAGTAACTTTCTTTCCTGCTCATTTTTTATACAAAAAATGTTTGCGTATTTTCATTTGACCACTCATTCATCCTAATCATGAGTTTTTTCATGAAAAAATAAAAAAAAAACTGGAATGATTAATTAATTTGTCAGAAGCTTTACGTCCTAACGGAAAGTGATTTATATATTGTTTTTTTTTTGTTTTAAGCCGAATAACGGTAAATTGCAAATATCTCGAAAACGTATCCATAGGAAAAAAAATTAGCTAGATTTTCAGAATCAGCGAGCAATTCTATATAGGAATTGGATAGTGGCACCCATTGAACATTTTTGCTGTAAACCAATGTAATTATTAGGAGAAGATGAAAATGTTTTTAGTCTAATGAGACGAAGGCGACTTTTCCATTGTTCAATAATAATTATACACAATATTTAATTTTATTTCATATAATCGTTATGGTCTCTGAAATCTACAAAGCACACTGAGTTACACGCACATTGCTCTTATTTTCATAAAACATCCAACAATGTTTACAACAATTTTTCTTCAAATAAACATAATAGAATGGAGCTGAAAAAACTATTAGTAATTATTGGAAGTCCTTCCAAACGAGGTTATTTACATATATTTCACTAGCAAATAAATTTAATGGTTGTTATTAATGCAACGAAAAAAATTATTAAAAATTGTTATGCATTGAAATTTTTTCATTAGCACTAGATTTGATAATTTAACAATTTTCATTAGCATTATATTTTTCAGAATTAATGCATTGCAATTTTTATATGCATTAGATTTAAAAAATTAATGCATCAATTTTTTACGTTAACATTATTGCTTTTAACATTGGCTTATATTGATATGGACATACATGTATGCTTTTGATTTACAGATGATGCTGTTAACTTTGAAAATTTTGATCTTTTTACAAACGTGTTATTTAAAGCGAATAGAAGAAATCCCAATGGCTGCCCAATTCGAGGTACATTTTTTGTTTCACATCAGTATACCAACTACCAATTTGTACAAAAGCTATGGAACGATGGTCACGAAATTGCCGTGCACTCAGTAACGTACGTAAAAGACTTACATAATAAAATACAAAATAGATTTTTCTAAAAATATCCGCTACTTACACTGCTCAAAATTAATTTATTTCTCCAGCCATCGTGGGCCCGAGATGTGGTGGTCAAAAAATGCCACTATTGAAGATTGGTTCGACGAAATGGTTGGCCAAGCCAACATTCTTAATCGTTTTGCTAACATACGCATGGAAGATATACGTGGCATGCGAGTTCCATTTTTGCGCGTCGGTTGGAATCGTCAGTTCTTGATGATGAACGAGTTTGGTTTTGTGTATGATGCATCGATGGTAGCACCGTTTAGCAATCCACCACTATGGCCTTATACCCTGGATTATAAGATGCCTCATTCTTGTACAGGCATAAACCAGAATTGCCCCTCCCGCAGCTATCCCGGTATTTGGGAGATGGTGATGAATCAGATGGAAGTGGGCGATTTCACTTGTGGTATGGTCGATAGCTGTCCATCACAGTTAAGTGGAGATGATGTTTATCGCATGCTGACGCACAACTTTAAAAGACATTTCTTGTCGAACCGTGCACCATTTGGATTGTATTTTCATGCAACGTGGTTTAAGAATAACGATTACCTGCAGGCCTTTACGGTAAATATATAGCTGGGGAAATACCAATTATGTGTTTAGTAAAAAAGAATATTCTATTATTAAATATGTTTTTGTAGCGGTTTGTGGATGACTTGCAAAAGCTACCAGATGTATATTTCGTTACAAATCAACAAGCTATTCAGTGGATGAGACAACCAGTGCTGAGTACTCAGCTACATACGTTTGAGCCTTGGGGATGCAAGCCTCGCCAATTGGATGCCCGCGAAATAGTATGCAATATACCGAATACATGCAAGGTGCGAAGTCGAGTGTTACAGCAGGATCGATATTTATACACTTGCAACGAGTGTCCAACGCAGTATCCCTGGATACGCAATGAATTTGGTTTGGACTAATAACCGCCCTTTATACCTGGCATTGCCATTCACTTGTTAAATGCAATAATAGATATTAAGCAAAAATTTAAATTATTTTCTACATAATGTTTCGTAATTTAGTATGTACTTACATCTTATTTATTTTTATCAGCATAAACATTTTCATTTTTCCATTTTATATATGTACAATGTTTCACTACTAGTGGGCATACAATTTTTGCCACCAAATTTTCGCGACTTTAAAAAAGTTAAATTATAAAGTACAGTAGTTACTAAAAAAGCAACGACATTTATACAATTTACGCATCTTGTGTAATAAATGGGTTCGGAATGGATTCCATGCCATCTTGCGGACAGATGAGAACTAGCGCTGTCCCGCGGCATACCACCAAACCTAAACTGCGCGTATCCTCGGCCAACTTGAATGGTTCGTCTGCATCACGCAGGTACTCAACAGTATTGTCCAGCACTAAGTTTAATAGGGCATCATAACCCTTAAGAATGCCGGCAGCTTCGCGACCTCCCGCAAATTTGACTCGAATTTGTTTTTCTAAATATTTGGAAAGATCCAGGATAGATTCCTTACGGCGCTTTTCTTTGCCATCATTGCCGCCACTTGTCTGCAGAGCAATAATTGTTATGCTACATGTGTATGTATAAATGTTTAGTACAAACCTTAGGTTTTTCAGCCATTTTATTATTAATTTGTGGTTTTTAGGTAATTTCACACTTTTAAGCGGCAATTAATGTACAATACCTAAATCCAGATTTTTGTTTACGTGAGGTTATGTTGTGACGGACATGCCAAAATAAAAAGTTTTGATCACTTGGTATACCCTGTACCTTGCAAAGTTGCAACAAGAATTTCGGAGACATGTATTCTTATTGGAGGTTTTTAATAAAAAAATTTAGGTTTTTGTGTATTCATTTCCAACTTTAAACAAAGAACCGAATTTCTTCTTATTCTACTGAGCTAAGGCAGCATCAAATCGAGCTGTCGCAACTGATACCACCTTGTTTTATTGCGTCATGGGTATAGATGTGGGGTAATCATTTGATTTGATACATGCTATATCAACCCTGATTCGTAAACGTCAACAAAAGAGGAATATGAAAATCTTAGTAGGCCATTTTGTTATATCTGACTTGAGCGTGAAAATTTTCGCCAGCAAAGTTTCAATTTTCAGTGGCATAGCTGCAATAAAAAAATAAAATCTAATTTCAGATTATTAAAAACCAACCAAAACAGGAATAAAATGGGTCGCAAGAAGAAGAAGGCCTCGAAACCATGGTGCTGGTATCCTTTTCAAAGAAATGAAAACTAATATCTTGTCCTGTGTGACGATCGTGTCTATACTGTTTTATGTAACTGCGTCAGCAGCGCTGCAAGCGTCGGGTGCTCCACTGCGCCACGTTTTAAGGGCGTTTTGGCAAAACATTTTCATTTATGTTTACGGCTATTTCCTTAATTATTTTTTCAAAAATAGGTACTGCAATCGTGAATTTGACGATGAAAAGATTTTGGTGCAACATCAGAAGGCGAAACATTTCAAGTGCCACATTTGTCACAAGAAATTATATACAGGGCCCGGTTTATCGATCCACTGTATGCAAGTGCATAAAGAAACAGTAGACAAGGTACCCAACTCTTTGCCCAATCGCTCAAATATTGAAGTAGAAATATTCGGGATGGATGGAATACCAGCGGAGGATGTGCGCGAGCATGAACGACAGAAAAATGGCGGCAAATCGGATTCGGACGACGACGAGCCAGCCGCAAAGAAAAAAGTTGAAAGTATGAAGTATGAGTTTTATGAAAATTAACCGGTATAAATTGATTTCTTACTAATTACAGTTCCATTAACGGCACCACCGCCTATGATGATGCCCCCAAACATGATGCCACCGATGATGGGCCAATTCGGACCAATGGGGATGATGCCAAATATGCCACCTATGGCACCAATGCCTCCATTTTTAGGGCCCGGTGGTATACCAATGATGCCGCCACACATGATGCCGCCGCGACCACTTTTTCCGGCAGCAATGGCTGCCACTACTTCTGCAGCAGCGGTGCATGCAGCCGCGGTTTCTCAAAAGCCAACTTTCCCTGCGTACAGGTAAAGCAAATACAGTATAGCAAAATAGGATTACTTTCTCATTCTGTTAACTCATTATTTCACAGTAATGCAACGATTAGCGCACCGCCAACAACCAATAATCCCAGTGCCACAGGAAGTACAGCGCCAGCTGAAGCGCCAAAGGCACCCGCAACAGCTCCAAGCGGAACTGCTGCTGGTGTAACGTCAAAAATCATGCATCCACCGGAGGATATGAGCTTGGAGGAGTTACGTGCACGGAAACCCAAGTATCAACAAAAATTACAGAATAGCGGAGGCAGCAACAGCCATCAACAACGCACCACATCGGCTGGCACGCTCAGTCATAATCATAATACCGTCGTGAGCAGCACATCATCCATGACAATTCCAACAAGTTCGAGTACGTCGAGTGCAGCAGCAGCCGCTCAAGCTGCGGCTATATCAAAGGCCCAGGAAGTGAGTGCTTACAATAGATATAGAAATCATAGTCAATATAACTACTGAACAGGCGGATATGGGAGGGAAAGTACACATAGATTTTCATACACTACACGGCACAATATATAGTGCCCATTTGTCATACAAAAAAAAAAAAAAACAAAATACTTGCAAAGAGATTTCATATATACATACATACAATTTAAAACAGCAAAATATAACAAAGCGGCATAGTAAAGATAACCGAAAAGAGGAGCGTCGCAACTCCGCTGTATTATGCTCCTTGTGGAGCTGTACTCATTCACAGATACGTATACATAAGGTTAGATTATGAAATGTTTGCATAAGTGGGACAGTTTTGCATTTAAGAATTCCATTTCTATTTCCTAAAATACAAATTGAGTTAAAAATTTAGAAAATACATACAGCCAGGTTCTGCAATTCACTTCCGAGTAAATTTCAAAATTCAAATTGGCAGGGGTTGAATTTCACTCGGAAGGGAATTGCAGAACCCGCCTGATAATTCCGTTATTATCAGGTAGGTTCTGCAATTCACTTCCGAGTGAATTTCAACCCCTGCCAATTTGAATTCAAAGCGAACTTAGCTCAAATTCACTCCGATGTGAATTGCAGAACCTGCCTGTATGTATGAAATATGGCAACAAAAAAAATTGCATATAAAATCAGGTATTTGATTGTGAAATAAGTTCACAAACACAGCCTAAAATTTCAGATCACATTTGATTACGTAAATAAAATAAAGTAGATTAGTTTTGAGGCATCGTTTGTTAAACCCAAAATAGATTATTTATATAATTTGTCTTAATTTTTGCAATTTTGAAATTCCGGCAAACCTTAACGAGTATATATTGTGTGTATTTTTATAATTTACAATGCAGATAAAAAGACGATTTTAATTGAAATAAATCATGAAATTTTTAAAATAAAATGCATACACGTTCTTTTTTTCCAACAATCTGGCGTGGTTTAATGTGTTACTCAATTGCTCCCCAAACGAAAATATAAGAGTTTTTAGTCGCTTTAATTGCTGTAAATGGTGTTCCCTCGGTTTTGTTTTAAACAATAATATTCAAATTGTTAATCAAATGAAATTGCTTAGATATACATTAGGGTAAGAGTTGTCAAATTTTAAAATTGCAAAAGTAAGAATATCCGGTTAGGTCCTTATAGTTATTTTGAAGCTTAAATTACATTTATCTAAAAACAATCCAAGGTCTAAATTACGTGAAACATTCCTAAAACTCGTTTAAACTTAAAATTCAAAGAGCTGATAGAACATTCTATTATGTAAAATAGGGTAAATCTTCAATTGCCGAATCACCAAACAAACCGTATATTCGAAAATTCAAATTTACTATGAAATCGACGAAGTAGACTTCACCTCGCCTAGTCCGCATCAGTAGTATTTCTGCAGACATGTCTGCTACCACAATCCACACTGACTGCGCGTTTTCTCTTCTCTCTCTCTCTCTATTTGTCTATCTATCTATCTATACCTCTCCTCCTCGTAGACTGCTGCAATGGTAGCGGTTGCACAGGTCCAAGCAGCTCAGGCCCAGGCACAGGCACACGTCCAGGCGCAGGCTCAAGCGCAGGCGCAAGCACATGCTCAAGCGCAGGCTCAGGCTCAAGCACAGGTGCAGGCAGCTCAAGCACATGCGCATGCACACGCAGCAGCACACGCGCAGGCAGCTCAGGTACAAGCACAGGTGGCGCAAGCACAAGCGCACGCACATGCGCAGGTCGCTCAAGCGGTAGCTGCTCAACATCAACAACAACAAAAGCAATTGGAAGATCTCAATCGTGCTGTGCTTCTTCAGAGGCTACAGGCCGGACGCTCGGGCCATCCACAATCGGCACTCGGCGCACCAACTGCAACGGCCGTAGGCATGGTAAGTGTCTGCTAAACAGTTTGTTGATCTTTTTTCGCTACTGAAATGAAATTTGAGAAAAAAAATTTAACGCGATTATTAGATACATACGTACAAAAATATGTATGATGCTATGAATGGGTATGCATTTAGGTCTGTAAAATGTTGGGTACACATATTTTAGTTAAATTGTTTTTGATTCGCTAAAAATGCGAAAGTTTTTGAGTCCCTAATGTAGCACAGCCTCAGCTCATTAATTTTTAAAGATAACTAGTTTAACCAATTCCGTTTTTTTTTTATCAATTTTATGTAATGGGAAAGAACCTGAAACCTTCGTAAACAGGATAAAATGTTCTCTTTTTGCGAAATAAATGCATTTTTCACGAATAATAGAATAAATCTGGGCCGTGCAAATTTTATGTATTAGTTGTTTCGTCAAAATGCTTTCCATACCTGTCTTAGGTTTACTGAGCCCGCTGCTTCTGGTGTTTGTTAGTATTCCGTGTTCCTAGTTTTGGCACGTGACGATTTCGCAACGATTTGGCATCATAAGATCGAACTTCTTAGACTGAATTCGCATACGGAAACTTTTGTTGCTCACTTCTCTTTTTGTGTTTGTTGCCCGTCGCATTCACACAGAGCAATTCTTTTGTACACAATTGTCAGCTATGAACCGCCAACATGAATTACTCAAACGAACGAGAGCACAAGGCATGTTCGCCGAGCACGAGCAACTTGGTGCCCTTCCCCTTTCTTTGTCGCTCCGTATCCCACAAGTAACGAGTTGCCGCGCAAAAGTTTCCGTGTCTGACCTCGAGACTTATTCATTCCCTATAAAACGCGATTACCCGAAGCTTAAATACATTGAAAGAATTTCTCTTTAAACCAACAATAATACCAACACATGACTCCCAAGTGTATAAGAAAGAAAGGGATGCAAGATCAAAAGTATACAAGAGTTCCGTGTAGTTTTGTTGGACAAATTGAGAAAGAGAAATTTCTGTCACATTTTGGAAATCAGTTTCAGAAATAAAAGTTGCAAGATGTGACTGTAATTGAGAGCGCGCAAATCGATTTCGGAAATATATTTCAACTTGCTCATGCTGCACCAGCAATCTGCGATTCGCCTTTCAGAAATAAAAAAACCTCTTTCGAAAGACACTTTACATGCAAGATGTGACGGCCCATGCAACTGCTTTCTGTAATTTCTCAATCAGACAGTCTTTTTGAAATGTATTGCATTGCCACCTCTGACAGCCTCTTATGTTAGCGCATTCGGTTAAATTATTTCATCGATGCCTTTGCGAAACAGCCTATCTTACACTAAAATTTTACAGGAGAGTGAAAAAAACGGTTTTTCTTTGAAGGAATTTCCTTGATAGGCGGCGTTTTCTCTAGCTATTATTATACAAATCTGTTCTTTTAATACCGATTTTTGGATTTTTATGCATAACGGCGATTTAGGAAGTTTTGCAAAGATATCGGCGATAGGTATTTACCCGATAGTCTTCTTGCTGGGTTCCTTGTTTGTTGATATTTGTTCTTTATAGGGTTAAGATATCTAAGCATAGAAATTTTCTGTTTTTAAATTTAAATGGGATTATTTTTCATGAATATATTTTACGGAAGATTCTCATTCTAAAAAATTCGGCCGACTTCCAAATCGTACCAATACAATTGTTCACACCTGTTTGGCTATCAGATTATATATATGTATATGTAGGTTGTATTTTTTATTCACTTTACAACAATAAAATTGCGAGACAATGCAAATGAAGCATCAACTTTGTTTGTGATTCGCTGACTTCTCTAGCGATACGTTTCGATAACTTTTCGGATGCGTTTTGGAAAAGTATACATTGGCAACATTTTACAGCTTGGCTTTACGGAACATTATACTTTGTACGTATGCAAAGTAATTGCCGTTTAGGAAGTCAATCTTCTTCCTTCCTAAAGTGTCAGTATTTATGCAACTGACTTATTTTCGACAAAATAATGTTTGTCCATGTTTCGGGCAATAAGAGCAGGCTTTTCAGGCGCTTTGCTGAAGCAACTCTCCCTTCTAGCTCCCTAATATATGGCCGTTATTAAATCATCTCCTATTTAGTGTGACTGAAAATTACATCGTTTGAAGAATGTTTTTTCGTAAACTAGTGTGTGGATATGTGGCTGAAATCCGGGTCTACCATTGAGATTATTGCCATTTTCGTGGGACATTTGCTATCGTTTTGCTAAGGTTTTCGTATAACAACCTGTTAACCAGTTTCCAAATTATTAATTCTTATTTTTTTGGGCAAATATACAACTTGCTTTATGATACTCGTAATTAAAAAAAATTATTGAAAGACAGCGAATTTTTCTGTTCATTCTTCGCAATACTTCTGTTGAGCATAAGTTTAAGAAGTGCTTTAGCTATAAGCGACGTGTACTGTTCTACACCTCTGGGATATGCTAATCCAAATGGTCCCTTATGTGAGGCCATAGAAGCTGTAGCAACATGTTCATGATTCTATCACCAAAAGGGCTTTGATTTTTTCAAGAGAACGAATCGGCTACCGGCCCGATTGCCATGTTAAAAAATCTTTTATCAGCCACCATTCTGACAGAGACGGTCTTGGTTCCAGCTCTAGCTTAAACATCAGAAGGGTTAAAGCCAAGCAAAGCGTGAGCTTACTCAAAATTCAGAGAGGGAATTATAATTGCTTGTGGATCATACAAATTCAACGCAATTAATACAAAAACAGGTATAACAGTAGATTTTTAACCGACTTCCAACAAAGGAGGAGGTTCTCAGTTTTATGCAAAAAAAATCGCCGACAATTTTTTTTTTAGTTGATCGCATTTTAAATCTAGGTGTGCGATATGTAGCCTTGCGGAATGCTGCTCAAGGGACTGCTCTGGGCCAAAAATATTTTTTTCGATAGCGCCAACGCAAAATTTTGTTTTTATTTTTACTTAATTTTTTTATAAAATAGACACCTTTTGTGTTTTGTCCTAACCTTCATTTTGTAGTAGTTCTTGTATGTTTCCTGTTGTCAACCCACGATTGCGTTAATTTCAGCGGCGTGTTTTTGGAGAAGAATTCTTTTAATGCATTCATAGGACTATAGTCTGAAAAAGCTTCTCAGATATAACATTGTAGGTTACTCCATTTGTGTGACAAAACGAAGACCCAGTCCACAAATCGGATGGAAAGCTCTCCCAAACACGTAGAAAAATGTGTAAATGCCAAATAAGTAATTATAAAAACAAATTCATAGGAGTGTAACGATTTTTAGGTATTTCAAATTTCAATGGGTTTGCCGTGCAATGCACCGTTGCCGATATTCATTGAGCTGTAAACATTAGGCCGGGCCTAGCCAAATATTTTCTTTTAGTTCCTGGAGTGTTTCAAAGGCAATGAAAATATAATTTTAATACGTTTGGGTTGGCACTTTCAGTAGCAAAGACATATTTAAACAGATAAAATGATTGGTTCTGAAATTTGCTATTTTTTAATTTCCTGGCATAATTAAAATATGTGCACGTGCCAAAAAAATAACCTCAAATATTTCCCCATCTAATTCGGTGGGATATTTCTGTTCAAGGAGATTAACAACCGGTTTCGCCAGCAATTTAAATGGAAAATCATTCTTTATTTTCCGTCAATTTCCATATAAAATTCAAAAAATTAAAATCATTTTTCATTTAAATTGCTTTCGTGAAATCGGCAGTAAGAGTCTGCGAATTTGAAACCCACCGCAAGTTGCGTTAGTACTAAAAGATACAATCTTCTGACTACATTGGTTTTCATTAAGAACGATTTTAGGATTCAAAACAAAGGAAATGGTTTAAAATTAATCTAGTTACTTTAACACCTGCTTAAACCGAAGTGTCAGAACATAAACAGTTTGTGGGCGTACTGAAATAGCCAGAAAAAAATCTTGAAGCAAAATAACAGATAAGTAATTTAACAATTTCAATAAAAATTTAGTTTGTATAAGTAAAAAAAAAAAAAAAACTAAGATTCAAGTAAGTACAATTTTCACAATTTTAGTATTCATAATTGAATTGTCGTAATAAATAGTTGCTGAGTTGGTTGGTTGATTGATTGATTGATATGTCTTAAAAATATCTAAATGTTAATTTTTTTCTGTAAATTACAAACGTGATGGGGCATTTAGTGTATTTTATTATTACACAAAATAAAAACAACAAAAACAAGAATTGCATTTACAACAAACTTTATTATTAATTACTTAGTTTTTAAGTGCAAGTGCTCATGTAAAACTTCAAAATGCAAGTGCAGCCAATGAAACCCAATTCAAATCGAATTTAAAACTTTCATCATTCTACATATGTATTCATCGACACAAACGCTATGCATACTAAATTCATCATTATCAGCACTCTTTTGCGCTCTATCGTATCTCCATTAAATGATACCCTCACCCTCACCCTCCGCCTCCCATCCTTATGCCAGCCATGCCTATTCAAAATTACAAAGTCATGCCCACCCATTGCACAAAACCGTAGTCATTCACCCGTACATTCACATGCTCGTCAGCTATTTCCACCTAACTGTCTCACATCCGCTACATTTATTGTATTTAGCTTATTTCGCATTAACTGAAAGTCAATAATAGGCATATGACTCGAAAGGTATGGGCCAATACTCACTCAAATGTTTCTTTTTTCCAAACCATGTCGATGCTGAGTGGTAATGTCTGAATGTAAATACAAATAAATACTTTTTATACGAAGATTAGTAGACTTCCTATGTTTAGGTTAGGTTATGTTAGATCGGCTGATCGTTGAGATCTGGCCCTTAGTCATTGACTCGTTGGTCACAATGCACTTTTTGTGTTTTAACAATTTGCAAGCGTTTTGGTGTGCAATTTCTTTCAGTCAGGATATTAAAGCAATGCCATGGTAGCTGGACAGTGACATAGGAGATATTCTCTAGGGTGCTATTTTAGGTTCTAGAAAATGTCCCAGCTAATAAACTTTAAATTTGAAAGCAGCGATAAACATTTTTTAGTAATCAGTAGAGGCTTTGTTGTCTCGCTGTATCGTCATAAAAGCCTTCCCAATCCTTGGTCACCAAGCTTGGTCTACCATAGCTGGATGTTTTGTTGCATTTTCTATGCGTTTTCCAATGCATTTCAACATATCTAAGGGAGTTTTTTCTTTCTATAAAAGAAATATGGAAAAAAATCACGAACCCCTGCTGCTCAAAGCAAAACTTTCTGGTGGCGAAGAGTTAAAATATCTACAATTTCAGATTAAAATGGTATTTGAGAATCAGAACTTATCAAAATCATTGAAAATTTGAAGACATTTTGAAAGTACACTTTTGCCGGCAACTGTCTGAGCCACAATAAAGGAATTTCTTAGTTCTGCGAAGCCTTAGTACATGAGCTTTGAATAATAAGAAGATAAGGGTTCTTAAGTTTTTAACCCTTTGAGCCTCAAAACCAAACCACACTTTTTACAATAAATTTCAGCATACATAAATGTTTTTTTTGAAATATGTTTTAAATTGAAATTAAAAGTTTAGAGAACGTGAAGAAATAAATTATTTCTCAAATAATTAGTACCTTTATACACATAGAAGTCGTAATTTCTGCTAGTAGTTTTCTTTAAATAAAAGTGTGAAAGTGCAAAAGAGAAGGTGCGCTCCTGACAGAGAGAGAGAGAGAGAGAGCTAGAGAAAGAGTGAGTACTTAACGACTAATGTAAGTACGTTTTCACATTTTTTCTTTCTACTTCTATTACCAAAATGCCTTTAATATTCATTGTAATGCGAAGAAAAAACAATTATTATATATATATACTACTATATCTATTTTATATATCACCACTACTCTCTATAATACATCAAAATAAATGAATTAATGAATAATATAAATAACGTTAGCTATTTTTTGTGTAAATGAAATGTGCGCGAAGCCGTTGCTGTCGCTCCTACACGAATACAACAATTGAACTGAAAATTCGCTAATAACTTACTTCTTTTATGTCTCTTATCTGTTGCTATCATTCTTCGATGCACTGTAGATGCCGTTGCCAGGGCAAATGCAATTAATGCAACCAATGCTGCGTCCTGCCATGGCACTGGGACCGCATGGACCGTTGCTGGGTGGCAATATGTTGCGTGCACCAGGCGGTTTGCCCGGAATGCCAGGTGAGTACAATAAAACGCTTATATAGAAGTAGTAGTCAACTTAGAGAAGAACATGAATGCTAAAATACTTTTTCATACGCTGCCAGGTCTGTTGCCAGTACAAGCCATACAAATGCCGGGTATGCCGATGCCCGGTATGGGTGTCATGCTACCAGCCGGTCATCCTGTACTGCAAATGATGCCACGATTTCGGTGATCCGTTGCCCAAGGTGCGCCGCCAATTTGTTTGTCGACGCCGCTCTTAGAAACTCCGATGCCGTTATTATATCCACCTGAAAGATAAAATTGGAAACAAGCAATAATGCATTTAGCATCACCCAAAAAAATTTTCTAAACTAATGGAAAATGAAAACGACGGAAACATCGATGTCATAAAAAAAGATTTCAGCGCAGCAATGCCACCCAGCTGATTAAGGCAAAAAAACTGGCAAGCGTATTGTCGTCAACGGATGCAGCCGTTATCAATGATCACAAAGACAACATTAAATTTGAACGCCCTCAACAAAAACAACTAGAGCGGCAACAAGCAAGTTCAAACATTTTTAAATCCATTGTTTCTATTCGTAAACTCACTTTTAAATTCATAACTACTAAATATTTTTTTTTTTTTTTTTTGAAATTTGAATGAGCCTATTATTTAAGCAGCATTGTTATTGCCGCCTTATACAGAAAACAAGTTTGTACTCTACTTAATATCGCCCCTTCACCTAAAGTTTGTTGCTATAAGCCATTTTAACTAAAAGCCGTGCCGTCACACATACTCATGCACTTAATAAGTGCACTAGAACCCAGCCAATCACACAAACAGGCAGGCGGAGGGATGGAGCAGAACTACCAGCTGGTACTTTGCACACACACACACACACACACACACACGCACACATACACACATATAAAAAGAAATCGTTAATTTAACCAACTAGAAAAAGTTATGTGCAAATGCGCTTTGGGTTAATGTGGTGGCTAGTAATTATAGTTATATAATGTATTAGTTTTCCGTTTAAATTGTTATCATTTTTTACACATATGAATTCGCTTTAGTTTTCTAATTTCTTCCTACATATAATGCTATTTACATACACATATACTCCTATATATATACATACATACATACATGCATAATATGTACTCTGTTTTTGTTTTTAGTTATCAGCGAGTTTTTTCAGTTAAACTTAAGTATGGTTAGACAAAAAAAAATTTAAAGCAAAGCAAACATAGGCACGCAATAAATTGAGAAGAAAACGTAAGTTTTTGCAACCAATACGTAATTTAAGTGACTATTATTGAGTATGAATGTGTATTATAGCCTTGTATATGGATTACATACAGACAGTATACATACATACATACGTACATACATACATATGTACATACATACATATGTTCGTTTATATATTTTCAATAGTGCATTATAGATGAATGACATGCAACCGTAGTATATAGACACTACATAAAACAAACCATTCATGGAGTGTACATAAATTCATAATAAGTACATACATATGTACTTACAAAATACTATATTCATCTGAATAATACTAATCTCAATAACAACTTTTTCCATTACTAGGTCTCTGGTCTTTTTAGATTTCTGACATAATTTGGCTTCAGTGTATTTTTCACAAATCACTATTTAAAAATTAATTAAATTAATTAGAGATACATACTTTTCGCTGATTTTTGAAGCTTTCATTGTCGTCATCATTTTGTATACATATGCACATATATGTTTGCGGATAAGTTTTAATGCTCTTTTGCTGGTTTATATATAACTTCTTCCCATTGACACATTTCCTTAGACACTATGCACGCAGAAAAAGAACAAGTTGAGAGATGAGGTTATATTTTTATTCTTGATTTATTTTCAAAAGGGCCTTTTAATTTTAATTGTAATTTAAATGTACCTTGGAATTTTGGATATTTTTGAAAATTTTTATAATCTGTGCACATGTGTATACATTTTTACCAGTCCGTTTTCGGACTCATAACATAACCTTCCCATCACATACTAACCTCCCCAACTTTATATGATCTGTAAATTATTTAAATTTCTAAAAAAAATTAAGTAGTAGACTACGCTTTTTCCTCACCTTTTCGTGCATTAGTCTTGTGTTAGAAATTTACATAGGTAATCGCACAGTCATAACTGTGGTAAATTGCATTTTCATATAATTTGGCACTGTACTATTTATTTTTTTGTTGTGTCTTTACTTAAAACTTTTCCTCATCACTCTTTATCACTTGAAATTTTTTATGTACGTATATTAAATTCATATTAATTTTTTAACAGGTCCACGACAACGTTGGTCGATTGCGATGATGCGCTCGATCTGTAGTTTATTTTCCGTGTGCAACTGACTAACTTATATAGAAAAAATAAAATAAAAATTCGTAAAAGATAAAAAAAAAACTCAAACATACATACGTAACCGTAGCACACAGCCACTGAGTAAGCAATCACTCTTTACTATAATTTTCGTTTTTCGTAATATTTGTTTAATAAGTATAAAAAAGTTCAAAGCACGCAATAATTAGTGTACTAAACATATGTATGGTATTTAGTATGTAAATGACAGCCAACTAAATCAAGATTAATGGATAAGGCCGTAACCAAGCAGAAAGCTCTACATACATATATACTACATATGTACATACATACATACAACTCATATTAATTTGATACATTTCACAGATTTCAATATGCACACATACATAGTTCTCGGTGTGCCTCCGATTGCTGAATGAGCCGCGAAGTCCTACCACCTACCAGTGAGTGAGGCATTAGGTATGTTGCCAGTGTTGTTGTAATTTGTATTTTCGTTTGCCGTCCTGCCTTGATCGTACGTACATAGGTACTGCTCATCCTAAAATGTACCACATCGTGTCAAAAAAAAAAAAGTGTGTGCTTTTTGTTGCCTACCAAACGAATGTTTACTTACCTCTTTTTTAGAATGCATAGTAATTATTAACTGTAATTTAAATTCAAATTTTATTAGCAATAAGCCGTTGAATATCGAACATACGGTAATTGTAAGTGATATTTCGTAATCAAAAAAATTTTTCTCGCTACAGCTTTCACATTATTTTAATCCCTCGTACGAACTTAATTGTTTTATATTTTCTTTTCCTAAAAGTTTTGTGTTCGTATAGTGTTTTTTGTCCGGGCTATAAAAGCGATGTATCGAAATTTTGTATTGCGTGTTTTTTTGTGGGAATGTAGAAAAGTAAGTTTTCCGTAATTTTTCGACTTCATAATTTTCTAATGAACCTACAACTCCTAATTAATTACATTAAAATCCCAAATCAACAGCAGCAACAAGCACTGATATGTAAGTTAACGAATTTCAATAATTAGCTAAAATTATACATAAATGAACAGTCAACTGGTTACTGCACCGAACCGAGTAGGTATTGAATCGAAACAAAAATATTAATTTCGTATTTTATGGTTATATCGGCTTTATGGTTATGGTGTTCTTTACGTACAAGCACACAAGCATACTCGCATATACACATGCATACATATGTACTTAGGTACATGTGGATCTGCACATGTGCCAGATGCACATCGTAAGAGTGTTTGAAAAAGCGTAAAAATTCATTTTGTAATTGTTTTATTATTTTTAATTTCTACATGGAATGTTGCAGTGCATAGAAGTACACGCATATACATAAGTAACTATGTATGTATGCTTGCCGACATTGTGTTGCACGTTTTTAATGGCCATTCTAAAAGGTGGCATATCTATAAGGCTCACCGAAATTTCCGATCTCTCAATAAATTGTATGTGCAATTTTCTGTTTACTACATATCGTCGAGATTGATGTAAAAGGATCTAAATGGCAGTTGTTAAATTTTTAGAGAAGAGTCCAGAAAGCTTTTAAAACAAATGTATGAACAGTGACGGACGATGTATAGAATTTTCGATTTTTTTTTTTATAAATTTTTTTTTTTTAGTTATAATAAGTGCAATAAGACCACTCAAGCTTTATCGAGCTGAAGCTTAGAAATTATTTATCCTATGCCAAAAATTTAAAAAGAGATTCGAAATTGGGGTTTTTAAACTGTCTGGGAAATAAAATTTTTTTTTTTTGGATCTGTCTTTCTTGACTTAAATATTTCTAAATAAATACTGTTTAGTCCTTATTCCCTCGAAACTCCTGAAGAGGTAACAACTTAGAGGTAACAGAGCAATGTTTTTTTCCTATGTTACGCTTGGCTAGAAGGCAGGGTGTTTTTTTTATGGCCTATCTGATTGACTAGAATAACATTTAATTAAAAAATTTCCTCACGATTACAGTAGGATATTTATGTATATGTATGTATGTGTTGTGTAAAAAAACTCCTTTTAATGATGGTCGAAATTAGTTATGTTCCTCCTTTCCACACTCACATACATATGGGCATCTTTGTATAACAAATTGTTTGTTTGCATTTTAAATTGTTTATTAAAATCTAAATAAACAATGCCGACCTTTGAATCCAAAGCAAAAATATTTTATCATACACGTACACTATGCATACATTCATTTAATATACATATGTATCGACCCCTTTGCGTTAAATTATCGTGGATATGTGTCAAAAACTAAATTTTACAGGAGAACGTTTTCAAATTTTTTTGAACAAATTTGGATCAAAAAGCCAATTTCTAAAAAAAGCGCGAAGGGGGGTCGATATCATTAAGTACATACATACATATTTCCAGGTACGGTACATTACTGATGTGTAATTAGTTATGTGCTAAAATACGTATTTATTCAAACATATTTAGGGGATTCACAAGACGTGTTAACCGTCGTAAAATCTTAAGGTTAACATCTTTTTTAATTAAAATGGTTTTAGGGGATTTCTAACTAAACCGAAATTCTTTTAAACTGATAAAGAATATATAATTAGCCAACCCCCCAACCATTTTAACCGCTATTTTACATAAACAAGTGTTAAGCTTAAGATTTTACGACGGTTAACACGTCTTGTGAATTCCCTAATTGTATCTACATGTATATGTAAATGATACACATACATACTTATTGCATATGAACAAGTGACAAGTGATTTGGCTGCAGTAACACACATATGTACATACATATATACATACTACATACGAGATGACAGCATCACCTTTTAAGTATCGTCAAGCAATTATTTGTACGCTTTTTTTATATGGCTGCGGCCGCGCAAAATTGATGTTGGACTCCTGGCTTGCAGTGGCTCACCGGCGGCTAACGCATGCCGCTGGGTAAAGAGTTATGCGAGCCGTGGGTACCTCAATGCAAAGCGGATGGCATTAGGGTGTGGCATGAAAAGAATGCCAAGAAGGGTTGTGCCGTTGTTGCGTGCCAAAAATTTGTCTAATTACGTAAATTCTCGGTGCAGGAGAGTAAAAAAGTTTAATGGAAAACCGAAAAGTTGCAAAGTGCTAACTCATATTTGTTTTAAATTAACACTGTAATCGTAAAAAAAAGCAATAACATTAACTTCTAAGCTCTCTATCTTTCTTTTACTTTTTGTTCTAATTTGTACGTAACATTTTCAAAAGATGTCCGTGAATAAGTTAATGTAAAGGGTATTTGGTAGAAATTTTAGTAAATGCAAAATACGCAGGCGGCAGGTTCAGCAATTAAATTCCGAGTGAATTTCAATCAAATTCGCTTTGAATTCAAATTTTCAGGGTTTGAAATTCACTCTTAGGTGAATTGCAGAACCTGCCTGATAAACTTCTTGGTATTACTAAATGTATCATTTATTAAACATACTTGCACTTATTAGCAAAAATTGAAGTATTTATATTCAAATTGCGGCAAAACGGCACTTCGCTAACCCGTCTTCTTCTTCGACAGACTATCCGCTTGCGCTGGGCGACACCTGAGTAGTTGGTCGCGCTCGCTCTCGCTCTCCCCTACCCCCTTTCACTTACATAGATTTGTTTCTAATAATAATTAGTTAGACAAATACTTTTCAAGGTAATAATACATCATTAAATATTTTTATATGTAATGTATTTGTTAGTTGACAGCAACAATATTTGCGTGCAATTGTTTCTAATTTTTACTTGCTACTACTTATTGCTGCTGTTTGCTATGTTGTTGATGTTGTTTGGTGAGGTTGATTTTGCAACTATGTATTTTTGAATACCAGGTACTACTTACTAAATTTAAGACGGTTGGGAGAATTAAATAAGCAAAAAAAGAACAGTTTTGTAACCATGCAGGGGGGTGTAAGGCGCTCATGAAAACGCTTAGGAAGGGGGGAAAAAATCAATATTAAAATGAAAAATGAAAAATAAAAATTATTTATGATGCAAAAATACTCTCAAAACGTCTAGATGCGCTTTTGCATAAAAAATTGAAAATTAAAAAAAAAAAACCTTTTTTTTGGCGGTAAGGCTGGATATGTATAATGATTATACTATAATCATACTAAGGACTTAACGTTGCTGGAATGGTTCTTTTTGTTAATAACGGTTCATGAAGATTATGATGCACGAGATGTTCTGTCATATGATGTGATGTCGTCATGTATTATCTCGTGTAACATCACATCACTAAAAGTTTAAAAAGTTTAAAAGAAAATGGTTAAACATCATTTGGTATGACCAAATCAATCACATCACATACTTTTTTGAATCAAATACAATGCAATAATAATTTTTTCATGCGACTTCATTCATTGAATATATTAATACATATTATGTCATATTGATTTAGTGAGCTGAGCGTATGTCCTACCTCTACAATTGCGCGCACCCTGTCTGTTACAAAACTGATTTTTTTCTTCAACATCTAAAATCTGAGTATGATTTGAACTCGTATTGCTAGTCAATTTTGTCAAAGCCCTGGTTTCCCTTGCATCCCACCCACTATGTATATATACTACTATCTACCCCCTCACTTTATATAATTTTCTTCTAAAATACACAGTAATTCATTGTTTACATTTATCAATAAATAATACTTGTCCCCAAACATTTATCAATTTTGCTTTAATATCTGGGAGCGAGCGCCCAATCGAAAGCGTGTCACATTAATTTTGCTGATTAAAAAATCCCTTGCAAAGGTGCGTCGCATGCAAGCGAATGTTTTACAGTGTAATTCTTAAAACAAAAAAAATTTAATTTTCACATTTGTACATAGTTTGCAGCATTTGTTGCTTGCCACGCACAAAGCAGGCGATGTGTTTGCGCACATCATAGCTGCGTCCTGGGCGCGTCCCAACGGACAGGCTGTTGGATTTTTTAGTCCTTGTCACTACCCTAGTACATATATATATATAAATTTATATGTATTTGCATATATCTTTTCTAAGAATATTTTTTTTTTTGTTTGCTACGTTTATGACAAAAATTGTCTGTTTATGAAGCTCTTTAAGTTTTTTTTTACAGAGATTTTCTGTGCGCAGTGATTGCCGGTTGCAAAAATAAAAAGATGAAATAAAAAATGCAAAACATTTTCGCTTTTTTTCGCTTATTTAGTATGCATATATATATATATATTTAATATTCTACATTCTTTTTATGTTATGCTTGAAAGATTTACTACTAAACGTAAGGGCATACATATAAAAATG